CGGTTCCGCTCTGCCATTTGCTGGGTGTGTGGCAGGCAAGACCACATTGCATCTGTCTGTTTGGGTCGCCAGAAGGTTCAACCTCGGGAAGAATTGCTTCAGAAAGGTACCAGGGTCCCCAGCCAACATAGGGTGGGTTTCTGCGCATCTCACAGGATCATTCTGAGAACAGAAACTTTCCATTAACGTAAGGTTGCAAAGGGTTCCCTTACTGATGGAGTTGGACACTGGGTCTTCTCTTTTCATTATTTCAATTAATACCTTCAAAAGGATTTGCAGCAGTAATGGCTTTCGAGTTAAACTCAGACCATCGAATCTAATACTCACTGATTTTCAAAATTCTATGGCGTGTGTTAAGGGGGAGGCCACCCTTAAGGTATAGTATAAGGATTTTGAAGGTTCCCTAGATGTGGTGGTTGTTGGGGGTGAATGTACAAGTCTTATTGGACTCGATTGGTTCGAGGCTCTGGGAATCCAATTAACTGGGCTGCACAGCTTGCAAACGCTGGGCCTTGCAGAGGTTTGCAAGGAGTTTCTGGATGTGTTTAGTTCAGAACTAGGATCCTACAAGGGACCTCCCATTTCGCTACGGTTAGACCTAACCATCACGCCCATCAGGGTTAAGCCTAGGAGGGTACCTTTTGCCCTCAAGGGTAAGATAGATGCTGAGCTGGACAAATTGCTCCAGCAGGGCATTTTAGAACCTGTGGATTCTAGTCCATGGGAAACCCCCATAGTAATGCCTCTAAAGGCTAATGGGGAAATACATATATGTGCAGACTACAAGTGTACACTGAATAAGGCGTTGCAACAGCACGCTTATCCAGTCCCTGTTGTAAGCCACATCCTGGCCTCCCTTAAGGGGGCGCGCATTTTTGCGAAACCTGACCTGGCACAGGCCTATCAACAGCTACCTGTTGATGAGGCAGCTGCAGAGGCCCAGACTATTGTAACTCACAGGGGGGCCTTCAAGATCAAGAGACTGCAATTTGGGGTCAATGTAGACCCTGGCATATTCCAAAGTGTCATGGAGAGCACACTTCGAGGTATTCCTGGGGTCTGTCCCTACTTCGATGACATCCTCATTGCTGGGGAGTCATCTCAAAATTTAGCAGAAAGATTAAGGGCTGTCTTGCTTCGTTTTCGAAAAGCAGGCCTTAAACTAAAGCAGGATAAATGCAAGATAGGAGTCACTTCCACTGACTTCTTAGGTTTCAGGATTGATGCCCAAGGCATTCATCCTGCTGAAGCTAAACTACAAGCTATTCAACAGGCCCCAAGTCCAAAAGTGAGCTGCAAGCCTTCTTGGGGCTCTTAAACTTTTACCATGCATTTCTCCCACACAAAGCTGCAGTGGCAGAGCCGTTACATAGGCTCTTAAACAAGCAGGCTCCTTGGCAGTGGACTAAAGTCCATGACAAGAGCTTCAATGAGGTTAAGGCCTTGCTCACTTCTAATGCTGTTTTAGAGCATTTCAATGAGCAACTGCCTGTTTGCATTGCATGCGATGCATCTCCTTATGGGGTGGGAGCAGTACTTAGTCATCTGAAGGCTGATGGGACACAAGTCCCTGTGGCCTATTATTCAAGGACTCTGTCATCTGCAGAGCAGAATTGCGCTCAGATTGACAGAGAAGCCTTGGCCATAGTGGCTGGCATAAAGAAATTTCATGATTTCTTATATGGCCATCACTTCACGGTCTATACAGACCATAAGCCTCTGTTGGGTTTGTTTACTACTAACAAACAGACACCACATATAATTTCTCCTCGTATGCTAAAATGGTCCATTTTCCTGTCAGCATATGACTGCACTCTAGTTCACAAACCTGGAAAAGAAATGGGCCATGCAGATGGCCCAAGCAGATTGCCTTTAACTTAGGTAGAAGCAGACCCTGCTCTTGCCATAAATATTCTTTCCATTCAGGAGTTGCCTGAATCTCCCCTCAATGCTAGGGACATGGCTGCTGAAACTGCCACTGATCACACACTTACACGCATGTTGACATGGATGTTGTCAGGATGGCCTGACGTGTCCAGATGCGACATTTTAAAGTTTTTGGCAAAGGAGACATGCATTGTCTACCTTTAATGGGTGCCTTTTATGGGGTAGCAGGGTAGTCATCCCAGCCTCGTTGAGGTCTAGAGTCTTGATCTCTCTGCATGAAGGACATCCTGGGATAGTTAGGATGAAAGCACTTGCACTCAGCAATCTTTGGTGGCCAGAGCTTGATAAAGCTATCGAGGTTCAGGTGTACGGGTGCCAAGTGTGCCAACAATCATGGCCTGAAATGCCTCAGGCCCCTGTACACAAGTGGGAGGAGACACACACCCCTTGGTCAAGGGTACATTTAGATTATGCTGGGCCCTTCCAGGGGCAATTCTTCCTTATCCTTGTTGATAGCCATTCCAAGTGGCTAGAGGTTGTTACTGTTTCCTCCACTACTACTGCCAGGACTATCCAGGTGTTGAGAGGAATTTTTGCATCAGACAGCCTTCCAGATGTCCTGGTTTCAGATAATGGCTCTCAATTTACCTCTTCTGAGTTCCAGGCTTTTCTTCATGCCAACCTGATCCGGCATGCAATGTCAGCTCCCTTCCACCCTTCCACCAATGGGTAAGCTGAAAGGATGGTGTGCACTACCAAGGACACACTCAAAAGACTCACATTCGGTAGTTGGTATCACAGGTTAGCTGACTTTCTTCTTGCACACCACACCACATCTTGCACGACCACTGGGAACAGCCCAGCTAAACTCCGCTGGGGTCGCAGACGCATTACTAAATTGGATAGGTTGCACCCAGACCGGATGGCTTCACACTGTCGCACCCGCGGGCACCAGGTAGACTACAGTTGGGTGATCTGGGTTCGGAACTACGCTCCTGGTCATCTGTGGGTTCCTGTTGTTATCTGTAAGATCTCTGGACCTCTATCATACGAAGTGACCTTGGGAGATGGCCGCATTCTGCGGCGTCACATCAATCAACTGCGCTGGTGGTTGTCCCCTGTGGATTCCACCCCTGCCTCCCCTCTTAGAGGGGAGGGCCCCCAGGAACCACGTCACAATTCAGGTCAATTCTGAGACACAATCTCACTGTTCCTGGGAAGTACCGTAGGTCGCTAGGGATTTCCCAGGGGAGGTGCAAGGGCATCCTCAGAGTTCAGCTATTGCGTCAAACAGGGAGTCAGGCATATCCGCAAGAGCTCCAAACAGGAATTCACCTAAGGCGGGGTTTGCCATAGAGGCGGCCCCTGACTCTAGCACCTCAGCCACAGAGGACTGGGAGTATTGGGGCATGCCTGCAATGCAGGTCATGTCCGAGACTGGTCGCAGGCTCGAGGGGCTAAGTTACCTGGAGACATCCAGGATAGTTGGGGAATCCTCAGCCAATTCAGAGGGTTGGGGAATTTCAGCTGCTCTCACAGAGCCTGGGGAGAGCTCTGGCAATTCTGCTGGCATGCCTCAGCAGGGGTCACCTGCAAAATTTGTGCATAAAGGTCCTGGTCTAGCAAGCCCAAAACAGGCCGGTAGGCCAGGCGCCCTTAAGAACAAGTCCTGGTCTGCCTAGCTGGGCAGGTGAGCTGACAGGCCAGGCACCCTCCCTAACCTTGCACAGGTCACAACAGGCTAAGGCCCCTCCTAAGCATCTAGGAGAATATGTGAAGTTCTTGTCAGTACAAGGGACCTTACAGGTCTAGGTTGAGGAGATGGGACCTATGTGGGGTAGAAGATAGACATGTGAAGTCTACATTAGAGAGTGGGTTGGTTAGCTAACTCTATTAGTTACAGGAAGGGTGTCTGCATGTCAGCAGATTATTATTTTCTTTTAATTTATTTTATTATTATTGTAAAGAAATTTGGAATTGTGTGTGTTCTATCCAGGTGGGAGGGGTGTTATGTCCTGGGCCTGATGAGGAAACTCAGCAGGCCCAGAATAGTTGCAAATGGTTCCGGGCATTCTAAAAGCTGCCCAGGACCAGACAGAGCGGCGCCAGCCTTGTGCGCATGTGCAAGGCACAAAGAAAGAAGAACTTTTATTGGTTCCCTCTGTCCAGGTTTCAAGCCCTATAAAAATGCCTGCGTGCCTTTTGCTTTTTGCTTGGAGTTGGAGTACAAGAATAAAGCATTGTTAGTTTCACCATGTGTCTTCAGGATTTAACATTAAACATATGAAAAAAATCCTGCTAAATATTGTCCAGTTTGGCAACATCATGAAAAGTATTCTGATCAGACTAGAGAGTGCTACATCTACCCAATTCTGCTGCTGTGCCTCTCTACCTTTCTGTTCCAGGAAAGCTTCTCTCAATTGCTTTTCTTTCCCTTAAGTGTTCTTTCTGAATGATTTGCTTTTATATATGCATGTTTCTGTATTTATATATATGCACACATATTTTTTAAATAAATGTATATCATTCATTCGCCAAATATGCCTGTATAGCAAATAAAAAATACTGTATTCAAAACATTAAATACATGGGAAATGATAAAAATAAGAACACATAATAAAGTAAAAATGTACTGCACCACACAACTCATATTGTATTGTCAGGTATATATGAATTCCTGGCCAAATTCCTGAGTAAAGAACTAGGTCTACAGGTCCTTCTTAAAGACTGTCAGAATCTTTAAGGCTCATGGTCCTAAAGATAACTAAGCCTTGTACCAGCAGTAGCCAGAAAATTGGAAACTCAAGATGAAGATACGCAATAAAATATTTCACCAGTTACAATATTATATTAATGATACTGTGATGTCCAGAAAAACTTAGCAAAATGAATTCAGTTGAATCTTTGATATAATCTGTACACTTCATATTGTAATTTTTATTTTTTAGTCTGATTATTAAAAAGATGTAATGCATTTTAATGTAATTTTAAATTTAAAATTACATTGCAGGCATACATTCTTTTTGGAATTTATTAAGATGGAAATTTACTCACACACAGTGGAATATAAATATCCATAAAACAAATTTATTTTGAATCAAAAGAATACTAACCTGTAATCATACTTAGAGCTGACAAACAGGCTAAGGCTGGGATGTCAAGGTTGAGGCTTTGTAAATTTAAAGAAAAATCTTTAACTGAATCAAGCCACTCCCCAAATCCACGAAGGCACTGAAGTCGATGAAGTACAAGCCCTTTGCAGAAAATAAGCTTGTCTTCACTAATGTCAGATCTTCAATGATAAAAAAGAAGACATACACTATGAATACTGCTAACTTTTCAGTATATATCCTGCTGCATAATGCACATTAGCTAAATACCACCAATAGATATTTTTTATTTTGAAATATGTTATATTTGGGGCATTAAAGCAAGCTGATCTCACACTCACATGAATATATTTGTAGCTATTTAGGGGGAAATTCTGAGCGATCTTCTACCTATGCTGGTGGATGAACAGAGGCAGCTGATTGGAGATAAAAGAAAATGGAGTCAATAAGAAGATGAATTTAGATGGACTTGAAACTTCAGCCATCACTTAGGTAGATGATTACAAATATATTCCTGGATGGTATCATTTCAGATAGGTAAGTCACATGTTTTAATGTTCTTCCATGAAATCAAATCCTTACAACAAAATACTTAGCATGTTATAATAATGTAATAACATTAATAACACCAATAATAATATCCAGATGATTAGTCAGTCAATCAGTCAGTGAGTGAACTAAATATTATTCCTGTTTTTCTACCCAAGGGTATTCAAAGTGACCAAGAATGGAAAACAGAGAATCTAATAAAAGCAATTAAAATTCAAATTCCAAAGACATGTTGAAGAGGAAGGCTTTGACTATCGTGAAAGCCTAAAGAAAGAAAACTCTTTCTCGTATGCCCAATGAATCAATATGCCCAAAGGTCACAATATGTTTCCTAAATAGGTTCATATTGAGATAGATGTTATAGCTTCTTAGATTGCCAAGCTATTTTAAATACTAAAAACAGTATCTTAAATTGTACCCAGAAAACGATAAAGAACCAGTGCAGGTTTTTCAACACTTTTTTTTTTAGTATTCCATACCATTTAGCAGCTTTAATGGTGCATTTGATACTCATTTAACCACTGAAATATTTTTCTAGGATAGCATCATTTCTTTGATCAAATTGGGATGTAACCACGGCATCAGGAAGTATTGTCACATCCAACCACTTCAGGAACTGTTGCAACTGGCATACTAAACATAATCATTCAAAGGTTCCACCATACCATTTGGAAATCCAGAAGCACTATGGGTAGAGAAGCTCCACTTTGTTCTTTCTGGGAAATTGCAAGCTTATACAGATCTTATTCAGAGTTCTAATATCAATAGTACTACTGATTTTTTAAAGCAATAGTACAACTATTAAAAAAATAGTTATTACTATTTAAAGTTGTTTTTAAAACTTCCAAAACATTTAAGAGAACTAGTAGAATCATGCTACCTATAGCCAGGTCTCGGCATAAGTTATACAAGGCAATTAATGGTTCCAGTGAATGTTCTCATCTCAATGAAAGACGAAGGAAAAATTTGATTATTAGTTTTACTATATGATCTACTGCATGTGTAAACTAGCTCAATAAGGTGTTTTATTACTATTACAGAATTCTGCTTCATCCACTCCTACTTGCTTAAATATCTCACAAAACCATCCTAACAAAACAGCAGCTTATCTATATAAACAGCTGGGTTGTAAGTTATCAATCCATGAAACAAATATTTCATTTTAATGTTTTATTCAAGCAGATTATACAATAATGAGTTTTCCGCTATTGAGTCTCAGATGTACCTCATAGATAGCCGCAATATAAAAAGTTCCAAAAAAGCTGATTCTATAAGTAAAGTTTGATCTTCTTTAGGGAGATCAGTAAATCCTGGGATTTTTTCTGCCCAGTCTCTAGATATATCAATGGAGGCAGTGAGAAGATCGTAGAATTGTTGTACATACTCTGCATCTGTACCTGTAGAAGTTTGTTCCATAGAACAATACTAGAAGAAAAGGAATTAAAAATAGAAATGAAAAAAACTTTTTTCCACCTGATAAACATAGATCAGCACTGAATGAAATTGTTATAAGCAGTCAAGTATATTTTAGTCTATATATGGAGCTTATGAATAATTACTTAACACAGAGATATAGAAGAAGACCTAAGCAATTCTTATATCATATTTAAAGACTGTTACGTCCTTGGCGGGAAAACAGACACGAGAAGCAGCTGGAGTTCTCAGTTTCTTTTATTCAGCGTTCAGCTTACAGGAAGATGGCTTCAGCCTCGCCCAAACGCCTCGCAGCCTCTTATATAGGCAACTCCCGGGTAAATGGGTTACTTTTCCCGCGCCAGCACCCGCGCATGCGCACGGCGCTGGCGACAGCCTGTCTGGTCCCGGGCAGCTTTGCACCTGCCCGGGACTGCCTGCAAACGCCCGAGCCGTTTGCAAAGGCTCGGGACATAACACCCCTTTCCCCCGGGCTAAAACTACTACCAACATACAACATTTATTTTATATGACATTTGCTCCCCAGTGCTCCCACTGTTTACTGGCCTTTGCCTTGCCAGCAATGTTATGTAGTCTTCTAGGTACTTGGGAGATTTCTTTGCTCTCTGTGACCTTCTTAGCTCTGGGTTACTGGCATAAGTCCCCTGACTGGAGGGAGGCATGAGCCTGTTCTCTCTACTGTGCCCTGGTGTCTTCCAAGGACTGTGCCCCGATGCCTGGCCTGCTTGCTTGCCCACCGGGCTCGTCAGGCCAGGGCTTCTGTTGCTTTGTGACCTGGTTGTCCTACCTAGCTGTAGACCCTCAGGCCCCTTGAAGTGATAGCCACTGCTGGGCGTCTCTGTAGAACCCCCTAGGTCAGTCCAAGACCTGTCAGGAGGCTGTCTATTCCCTGAACCCCATTCTGTGTTTGGGCTCGTGTGGGTTTCTGTACTCTCCCAAAACTCAGGTGTCCCCTGATTTGTGCTAGGGGTGTTGTAGTCGGGACTTGGTTCCTCGACTAACTCTGTGTATGTTTGACCCCCTGTAGGATTTGGGGTAAGGTCAGGCCAACCTTGGGAATTGTGTGCCAGTTCTCTTGCGGGGAATGATTTGTTGGGATGCCCCCGGGTATCCTCCGTTGCTGGAGTGCTGTGTGATGTGTGTGGAAAGTGAGTATGCCCCCGGGGTGACTCCCTGGCTGGAGTAGGCGTGAGTGCCTGTTGTGTGGGTAAGCTCCATGACTTTCTTTTCGGAGCAATTGCAGAACCTTGGGACGAGCCGTTTGTGGCTCCCTCAGTGGAGATGGGCAGTAGCTCTTGCCCTTCCCTTTGCTCCAAAGGGTCCCCCTCCCCCCCTGGAAAAGACCCAGGAGTTTCAGCAGAAAAGTCCCGCCTAGAGCGGAGTTGGTCGATGTGCCGACGCAGGACACGACCGTTGTCCAGGGCAACCTCGTAGGAGAGAGGACCTGTGATCCTGGACACAGAAGCGGGGACCCATGTATGACCAGGCCCGTAATTGCGAGCCCAAACCGGGGCACCCACAAGTAGTTGTCTAGGTGCCCTAGGATGTGAGGTAGATGAAGGCAGTCTGTCCGGATGCAACCGGTCAAGTCTAGTAGTAAGTTGGCGCCCCCAACGAAGTTCAGCTGGACTTCTCCCTGTAGAAGTGGACGGTGTGGTGCGATAAGAAAGGAGAAAGTCAGCCAACCTGTGATGCCAGTCCCCGTAGGTGAGTCTCTTCAAGGCGTCCTTTGCGATGCGCACCATGCGTTCAGCCATACCGTTGGTGGACGGGTGAAAAGGCGCAGACGTGGCATGACGAATCAGGTTTGCCTGTAAGAAAGCTTGGAATTCGGAGGAGGTGAATTGAGGGCCGTTGTCGGACACAATGACATCTGGCAGCCCGTGTGCAGCAAAATCCCCCCTCAGTACCTGAATAGTCTTTGCAGTGGTGGTGGATGAGACAGGCACAACCTCAGCCATTTTGAATGGCTGTCAACAAGGACCAAGAAGAACTGGCCCTGAAAGGGCCCAGCGTAGTCAATGTGCACCCTAGACCATGGGGACTGTGTTTCCTCCCATCTATGCACAGGAGCTTGGGGCATCTCTGGGCGAGATCGTTGGCACAGGTGGCATGCGTGTACCTTAGCCTCAATATCTTTATCTAAAGCAGGCCACCACAAGTGGCTTCGTGCAAGAGCCTTCATACGAACAATGCCAGGATGACCCTCGTGGAGGGATTCTAAGACCCTAGTCCTCATTGAGGTGGGAATGACAACTCTGTTTCCCCAAAGCAGACAACCCTGAGAAAGGGACAGTTCGTTTCTTTTGGACCAGAAACTCTGAAACTCAGGACTAGGGCAGTGCTCAGGCCACCCGGACAGGACCCAGGAGCGGACACGTGAAAGTGTGTGATCTGTACCTGTTTCAGCGGTAACATCCCTGGCACTAAGAGGGAGCTCGGGCAAGGCTTGGATTGATAGAATGTTGACAGCTGGCGCGGGGTCAGCTTCTACTACTGGCAGAGGCAACCTACTGAGGCCATCAGCATGGCCCATTTCTTTCCCAGGCTTGTGGAGTAATGAAAAATCATATGCAGACAAGAAAATAGACCACCTAAGCATTCTAGGGGAAATGATGTGGGGAGTCTGCTTACGTGTGGTAAACAGTCCCAGCAGAGGCTTATGGTCAGTGAAGACCGTGAAATGCCTGCCATATAGAAAATCGTGGAATTTTTTAATTCCAGCAACAACAGCCAGAGCCTCCCTGTCTATCTGAGCGTAGTTGCGCTCGGCAGAAGACAATGTTCTGGAGTAGTATGCAATAGGAACCTGAGTTCCATCAGACCTGAGGTGACTCAGGACAGCTCCAACCCCGTAGGGGGACGCATCACAAGCGATGCACACAGGAAGAGACTCGTTGAAATGTGCAAGAACACTGTTAGAAGTGAGCAAGGCCTTGACTTCTTTAAAGCAAGCCTCATGTGCTTGTGACCACAGCCACACAGCTTGTTTGTCTAGTAGCCTGTGAAGAGGCTCAGCTACACTAGCTTTATGTGGAAGAAAAGAATTGTAGAAATTCAGGAGGCCTAGGAAGGCCTGAAGTTCGGCCTTAGACTTTGGCCTGGGTGCTTGTAAAATAGCAGTTAGTTTGGATTCAGCAGGATGAATCCCAGCAGCATCAATTTTGAATCCCAGAAATTCAGTAGAAGGCACCCCGATCTTGCATTTGTCTTTTCTGAGCTTGAGGCCTGATTCCCTGAATCTTAACAGGACAGCCCTAAGTCTTTCAGCTAGAATGTGTGTGGAGTCTCCTGCAATCAAGACATCGTCAAAGTAGGGGCAGACCCCTGGTATACCTCGTAGTGTGTTTTCCATTACGCTTTGGAAAATCCCAGGAGCGACATTCACTCCAAACTGCAGCCTTTTTACCTTAAAGGCTCCCCTGTGGGTCACAATAGTCTGAGCTATGGCAGCATCATTATCAACAGGCAGCTGTTGATATGCTTGAGCTAGGTCAAGCTTTGCAAAAACACGCCCCCCCTTGAGAGAGGCCAGGATGTGACTGACCACAGGAACAGGATAGGCATGTTGCTGCAATGCCTTATTGAGTGTGCATTTGTAATCAGCACAAATGCGAATGTCCCCATTTGCCTTTAGAGGCGTGACAATGGGGGTCTCCCATGGGCTGGAATCAACAGGTTCTAGGATTCCTTGTTGGATTAGTTTGTCTAATTCAGTGTCAATCTTACTTTTTAAAGCAAAAGGGACCCTTCTTGCTTTAATCCTAATGGGAGTGACAGTGGGGTCTAGCTTTAAGGACACAGGTGGTCCTTTGAATGTGCCCAGCTGGGGGCTGAAAACATCTGCAAATTCCTTGCAGACTTCCTGTAGGTCGAGTGTTTGTAAGCTGTTGAGTCCTGTGACGTGTATCCCCAGGGCCTCAAACCAATCGAGTCCTATGAGACTCGTTCTTTCACCCCCTACTACTAACAAGTCTAGTGGACCTTCAAAACTCTTGTATTGCACGTTAAGGGTGGCCTCCCCCTTAACACACACTCTTGAGTTCTGAAAATCTGTTAATACAATATCAGAAGGCCTTAACTTGGCCTTAGACCCACTACTGGAACAAATCTTCCTAAATGTATGCAATGAAATGATGGACAGGGCAGACCCTGTGTCTAGTTCCATAGATAATGGAACCCCTTGTAGCTTCACGTTGAGTGACAGCTTTTTCTTCATGGGCTTGTGTGTGCCTGTTCTACAGATGCTTCTTCGCGAAGCGCAAAACCTACCCTATTCTGGCTGGGGAATCTGGTACCTTTCAGGCGTTCTTCTTGGGTTGTGCCTTTCGTCGGCTCAGACACACAGCTGCAATGTGCCCTTGTTTGCCGCATGCCCGGCAGGTAGCGGAGCGGAACTTGCAGTCGGTTCTCCTGTGGCGACCTCCACAGCCGATGCACTTGAGCGGAGCCGAAGAGCTTCCCTTCTGGTTCTCTTCCTTCGCGGGGTGTAGACGGTCGACTTCCTCGTCCGGATCCTCCTCGGAGTTTCGTCGGACGTCTTCCTGGTGCACGGACGCACCCTCTGCACTGTTTCTGATCGGCCGCATGTTTTTTGATGGCGCCGCCTGCTGCTTCTTCTGCGGTGACTTCCCTTAAGGCGTCTTGGAAGGATAATTCTTCCTTGGCAAAAAGTCTCTGTTGTAGCTCTCGATGCCTTAGCCCGCACACGAATCGGTCCCTCAGTCGTTCCTCGAGGTCCTTGAACTCGCAGGGCTTGGCGGCCTTCCGTAGCGCGGCGATGTATTCCTTGGCTGTTTCACCGGACCGTTGATCCCTCTGCTCGAAGGTGTGGCGCCATGAGATAACGGACACCTTGGGGTGGAAGTGCTCTTTCAGCAGCTTCTTCAGGTCTGCGTAGCTTACAGACTCTACTGGAACAGGTGCTACAAGATTTTCTGCGATTTCGAAGGCGTCTTGGCCGCAAACGCAAAGCAGGGTGGCCGCCTTCA